CTGGAATATCCCTCCTAAAACAAGCCTTTGGTCCCGGGCTCAGCCCAGAGCTGCTGAGAGGGCTGTGGCCAGGCCGTGGGCCAGGTGGGTTCCACACTGACTGGATGCCCCAGTGTCCTGCGTGGGGGTGTCCACGGATCCGGGTAATCCCGTGGCAGGGAGGTGGGTGGTTAGTGGGAGGAGATCGTGGCAATGGTGGTCCTGGCCTGCAGCTCTGTTTCCTGTGTCACAGGTGGGTCCACAGCTTGGACCTGTGTTTGTCCCTGTGGGTGCAGCAGGGGAAGGGCCCGTGGGTCGCTGCAGAACCGTGGCTGGAAGTTCATAGAATCATGGAATGGTTTGGGTTGGAAGAGACCTTAAAGACCATCCCTTTCTAACCTTCCACTATCCCAGGTTGCTCCAAGCCCCGTCCAACCTGGCCTTGGATAGTTCCAGGGATAGGGAAGCCATTTGCCAGGGCCTCCCCACCCTCACAGGGAAGAATTTTTTCCCAATCCAATCTAAAATTACTCCCTTTCAGTTTGAAGCCATTCCTCCTTGTCCTGTCACTCCAGGCCCTTGTAGTCCCTCTCCACCTTCCTTGTCGGCTCCCTTCACGTACTGGAAGGCCACATTTAGATCACCCCAAAGCCTCCACCAGGCTGAACAATCGCAATTCTCCCAGTCTTTCCACACAGCAGAGGTGCTCCATCCTGCTCTGATCAACTTGGTGGCCTCCTCTGGACTCGCTCCAACGGACCGAGTTCACACGCCCCGATCCGTGATCACTTCTAAACCCCACCGTTACTACTAACGAACACACACACGAATACACGTACAAACATACACTCAAACACTCAAACATTAAATCCCGCGCTGGGTAGGTGGGTGGGGGGTGACCCCCCCTCCGCCGCCGCGGCCACGCGTGGGTCGCGCCCCGCGCCCCTTCCCTCACCCCCACGCCACCCCCACATCCCCGTGCCCGCCCCGGTGGGCGGGGGGGTCACCTGCGCTCCCCCGCTCCCTGCGCATCCCCCGCTCACCTGCAGGGCCGCTGCTCCGCGCCGGCTCCGCCAAAACGGCTGGCGCTTGACGGGCCGCGGGGACCGCGTCTCGGACGGGCGGGGCCGGCGGGCGGCGGGGGGTGCTCGGGGCGCAGGGGACGGGGGTGGCGAGGGAGGGGAAGGACGCGGACGCCCCCGCGCCCCTCGGGCTCTCCCGGCGGCTACAGCGGCGCCGCACAGCGCCGCCCGCCGCGCTGCCGCCGCCATCGCGCGGCTCCGCGCAGCGGGGCGTGGCCCGGGGGCGTGGCCGGGGCGTGGCCGCCCCGGGGAGCGACCGGTGGGTGTGGCCGAAGGGGCCGGGGCTGGTGGCGCGTGGGCCACACGGACCGCGGCGGGGCGGTGCTGCCCCCTGGCGGCGCGGAGGCGGTTCTGCACCCCCCCCACACACACTCCCCGCGTCCCGCTTCCCAAAACTCCAATCGGGAATTTGTATCATGTTTTTGCTGTATTATTAAAAATCTCAGAATCAGAATTTTTTATTTTATTTGTATCATATTTTTGTGATATTATTTATAGTATTATGCTATATTATTATATTGTTTGCGAGATATTATATTATCATATTAGTTGCATTATTATATTAGTTGCATTATTATATTAGTTGCATTGTTATATTAGTTGCATTATTATAATAACAGTAATTACAACATACGATATTGTTAGATGATATATAGTATTAATATATAATACCGAATATTGTACACGATATAAAATATTAATTATAGTAATATATTTATCATTTAATATTATTCTATTATTTACATTATAATAACAGTAATTGTACTGGTAATTACAATATACAACACTAACAGATCAAATACAATATTCATATATCATATATAATATTATACAATATATAGAATATTATTTATATTAATAGACTGATTATCTTATATTATTCTATTATTTTTATTACATTATTTATATTGTTATGATAATAGTAGTTATAATAGTAATTACCAAATACAGTGTTAACAGATAACATACAATATTCATACATATTGTATTTTATATATAATATTATACATAATATAAAATATTAATGATAGCCATATCTTTATTATTTTATATTCTTATATCATTGATATTGCATTATTTAATTTATTAATATTATTTACATTGCTTTGATAATAGTAATTACAATCATTACCAAATACAATATTAACAGATAATATACAGCATTCATACATAATATATAATATCACGTATAATATTACACATAATACAAAATATTGATGCTATTAATATATTTATTATTTTAGATTATTTTATTATTGATATTGCATTGTTTATTTCATTATAAGGTTTATATTGTTATAATAATAGTAATTATAATAGTAATTACCAAATACAATACCAACAGAGAATATACAATTTAATACATAACATATAATATTATAAATACAATATAATAAAATAAGGACATTAATATATTTATTATTTATAAGGCAATTTCATTACTAATATGCATATTTATATTATTTATATCATTTATATTATTTATAATAATAGTAATTGTTATAGTAATTGCAATATGCAATATTAATAGAATGTATGCAACATTCATACTTCATATATAATATTACACATGATATGAAATATTAATGATATTAATATATTTCTTATTCTATATTGTTACAGTATTTATTTAATTTTATTTATATCACTGTAATAATAGTAATTATCAGAGTAATTACAATATACAATACCAATAGGTCTTATACAATATTCATATCTCATATGTAATAATATTAAAATAAATATTAAATAAATATTAATAAATATTAAATAAATATTAATATATTTGTTGCTTTGTATTATTTATTATTTTTGTTATAAATAAGATGTTTTAGTAGGATATCACTTACCTTCCAGTACCTGAATGGGGACTGCAAGGAAGCTGGAGAGGGACTCTCTGTTAGGAGCTATAGTGATCGGACAAGGAGTAATGGGTACAGTTTTAAAGAGGGGGAATTTAGGTTGGATATTAGGAAGAAGTATGTTACTCTGGTAAGACACCGGAACAGGCTGCCCAGAGAGGCTGTGGATGCTCCAACTCTGGAAGTGTTCAAAGCCAGGTTGGATAAGGCCTTGGGCAACCTGGTCTGATGGAAGGTGTGCATGTCCATGACAAGGGATGGAACTAGATGGTCTTTAAGGTACCTTCCAACCCTTAAAAATTCTATGATTCTAAGCACAAAAATTTACTAATTTACTGGGTGCAACTGAGTGGCCTTTGTTTTTCATGAGCTGAGTTTTGACTGTCATAAAGTCTCTTCTTATTTAGGAATAACCCAGAAATATATTCTTTTTTTTTACAATTTAGAGTGAGGAAAGCTGGTTTTACTTAATTATAATCACGGACTGGTTTGGGTTGGAAGGGACCTTAAAGATCATCCAATTCCATGCCCTGCCATGGGCAGGGACACCTTCCACTAGACCAGGTTGCTCCAAGCACCATCCAACCTGGCATTGAGCACTTCCAGGGGTCCAGGGGCAACCACATCTTCTCTGCCCAACCTGTGCCAGGGCCTCACCACCCTCACAGAGAAGAATTTCTTCGTCTATGTTGCACAGTTTATTATTTAAAATCTAAATAGTATTGGTATGTAGCCTATGCAGAACTCCCTATATTTGTTCATGGAGTATGACACATCTGCTTGTGAAAACAGTGAGCTGGGTTTCAGTGATCACTGATATTGGAGATATTTGATCTGTAGATTGTTCATCTTCAAGGCTTGAAAAGGAAGGAAGTATTTACAGAATCCCAGGATGGGTCAGGTTGGAAGGGCCCACAGTGGCTCACCTGGTCCCACCTCCCTGCTCAGGAAGGGTCGTCCCAGAGCACACGGCACAGGATTGTGTCCAGATTGTTCTGGAATACCTCCAGTGAGGAGACTCCACACCTTCTCTAGACAATCTGTTCCAGTGCTCTGCCACCCTCAACGTAAAGAAGTTCTTCCTTGTGTTGAGGTGAAACTTGTAGTGTTTTAGTTAATGGCCACTGTTCCTTGTCCTGTTGCTGGGCACCACCAAAAAGAGTCCGGCACCATCCTCTGACAGTCCTTGGAGATATTAGTATGGATTGATGAGATCCTCTCAGTCTTGTCCTCTTCCTTTCTCTTTCCCTTTCCCCTTCCCCTTTCCCTTCCCTTTCCCCTTTCCCTTCTCTTCCCTTCCCCTTCCTTTTCCCCTTTCACTTTCCTTCCCCTTCTTTTTCCCTTTCCTTTCCCCTTCCCTTTCCTCTTCCTCCTTCCCTTCCCCTTTCCCCTTCACTTCCCCTTTCCTTTCCCTTCCCCTTCCCCTTTCCTTTCCCCTTTCCCTTTTCTTCCCTTCCCCTTCCTTTTCCTCTTTCACTTTCCTTCCCCTTCTTTTTCCCTTTCCTTTCCCCTTCCCTTTCCTCTTCCTCCTTCCCTTCCCCTTTCCCCTTCACTTCCCCTTTCCTTTCCCTTCCCCTTCCCCTTTCCTTTCCCCTTTCCCTTTTCTTCCCTTCCCCTTCCTTTTCCTCTTTCACTTTCCTTCCCTTCCCTTCCCTTCCCTCCCATCCTTCTTCCCTTTTTCCTTTTTTTTTCCCTTCCCTTCCCTCCCTTCCCTCCTTCCCTTCCCTCCCCTTCCCTTCCCTTCCCTTCCCTTCCCTTCCCTCTTCCTCCTTCCCTTCCCCTTTCCCCTTCACTTCCCCTTTCCTCTTCCTTCCCTTTTCCCTTTCCCTTTTCCCTTTTCCCTTCCCTTCCCTTCCCTTCCTTTCCCTCTCCCTTTCCCTTCCCCTGACTAACCAGGCCCAGCTCCCTCAGCCTCTGCTCCCAAGACAGACGCTCCATTCCCTCAATCACCCCCGGCCCGCTCCAGGATCTCCAAGTCCCTCCTGTCCTGAGGGGCCCGGAACTGGACACGCCCCGCTGTCAATCACGCCTGTCAATCACCGTGACGAGCGTAAGCTCGGACCAATCAGCGACGGCCGCGACGCGCCGTGGCGGGGCCGGATTGGAGCCGGGCGGTGGCGGCGGCGGCGCAGGTGAGGGGGGGCCCTGGGGGCCCGTGAGGGAGCGGGCGTGCGCCGGGGTCGCTCCGACCCCCGCGGCCGCCACAGCCCCCTCAGAGACCCCCATGGGGCTGTGCCAGGGGGATCTGCGAGCGGGGACCCTCCCGGGGCTTCCTCGGGGAGTGAAGGTCGCGCTGAGGGCGGGGGGGCCCCCGCCGTGAGCGGGCCGCTATTCCCTGTGGGAAGGAGCCTCCTACGCCTTCCCCTTTGGCTTTTCCATTGCCTGTGCGGGATCCCAGCCGTGTCCCCTATCGCCTGTGATGGCCCTGTCGCCTGTCGTGACCCTGTCGCCAGGCCGGCCCCCAGCCCGGCGGGGTAGGTCCGGATAAACAGAGTGGGAATAAACACGGGCTGGGCCATGGCAGAAGGGAGCGAGGTTTGTGAAGGTGAAGCCGAAAACTGAACTTTAACCCGAGCGTTGTCTCTGTGCGTGTTTTCCATACGGAATTTCCCCTGTCAGGAGGCTGAGTGCCCGTACCAGGGATACGGGTGTCTGTGCCAGGGATACGAGTGTCTACGGAACAGCCCGAGCTCCTGGAGACAACCCGAGCGTCACCAGCAGCCTCTGCTCACCTTAAGGTCTCTGTCTCTCTGTAGGTGCTGAGCCAGGATGGGTTTGGCCGAAGAAAAAGTGTACAGCCACATTATGAGGAACCTCAAGCATTTCGGGACTATCCATGTGGGGTCGCTGGCTGATTCCCTGACCTGCCTGGTCGATTCTGACAGAGTAATTTCCTACTTCCCCGAGCCCTGCCATGCTCCTTCCCCAAAGGGAACGTACAGCTGCCTTGCCCCTAAGGCAGAGCCTCTCTTAGATGCCCTGTGTGTTTTTCCTAGGATGAACTCCACGCCCGGGAGGAGATGCGGGGCAGCCAGGCCACCGTGTTCAAGTTTTATCAGCTCCTGAGGTGCCGGAAGGACTGGGTGCAGGATCTCATCCAAGCCCTGCGCCACAACAACGCAGGACACCTGGCTGATGAGGTGCAGGAGGTGTATGACACCTGGAAACCCCGTACGTAGCCTCGTCCTCCCTGGGTGCTGCCCTGGGAAGCTGGTGGTGGTGGGGACCCGAAACACGTCACTGAGCAGCTGGTCTCTGTCCCTGCCTTGGTGTCTGAGGGACTGGGGGTGTCTGACCATCCCTCACCATGGTGACATGTCTGAGGGTGATGGGGTCCTTCTCTGAAGGTGCCTGGGTTGGTGGTGGGCTGGAGTTCTCACCCGGAGGGAAGGTGGGGAGATGAGTGAAGGGGTACTGTGGGCTTAGCCACTGTGGGCACATGCAGGGCTGCCTTGGCCCCATGCTCCTCCTCTGCTTCCTCAGCTTTTCCAGCAATGTTCCTGCTCATGATCCCCTTGACTCCTCCAGGTCCCTCAGCTCCCGCTGCTGACTCCTCCCTTCCCAGCAATGCCCGTCCCGCTGCCTCCTCCCTGAGTGCCCAGACACCATCCCTGCGGCCGAATTCTGCTCCGGGAGCCCCGCTGGCTGAGCAGCCTCGCCGGGACCTGCCCGTTGGTGACCATCCACCCGTCCTGCCCAGTGCTGCCACCACCACGAGCACGGATCAGGAGGCCAGAATTCCGGTGCAGGAATCGGTGAGCGAGGCACATGTTGGATGGGGACTCAAAGGTCCCTTATGGACCTTTTGGTGGGGTGTGGGGAGCCCGTGGTAGGGCCAGACTTGTTCAGGGCCACCCCAGGCAGACTCTCGTTGTTGATCTCTGCTGCATCTGGTAACTTAGAGGTTATATATGGCCTTGTAAGTGCTCCCCCTCCTGCCTTTCCTTTGTGGGGGGAGTGCAGGGTCTGCTTAATTAGTCCAGGCTCCCCTCCAGGCTCCCTATCCCTGCCTCCCCTCAGTGGGGGTGTGCAGGCTCCACTCTGTTAGTCCAGGCTCCTCTCCACAGCCCCTGACCCTTATGTGAGATGTGGTGGGTGTCAATGAGATACCCCAGACTCCCTTCATCAGCAGCCTTGCGGGGGCCACTGCTCAGGGTTTGGGGCGCCCTGGTGATCCCAGACCCCTCTTACTCCAGTGATTTAACACAGCTCATTTCCTTCCAGCTCCCCAAAAAACTCCTGGAGCAAGAGAGTCTCCAGCCATCTCCACCTGGGAGCACAGTCTGTGTTGGAGCGAGCGGAGAGGGACACCTCTCCCACCCTGGTGATACCACGCAGGGGTCAGTGGGGACCCCCAGGGTGACCAGTGTGTCCGAGCCATCGGCCGTGCCCCCGGAGCAGGGCCGGGACTGGCTGAGCCGCCGGCCGGTGTGTGTGGACAACGGGTGTTTTGGGAATGCCAACCACCTGCACCGCGGGGCACCGGGCCTGGCGCTGGGCAGGGCTCTTCCAGCAAGGGAGCCCAGTGCCACTCACAGCCCCGAGCAGCCCCGCAACGAGCCCGAAGAGCACTCGGACGAATCCACAGAATTTCCCGCTCGTGGTGTGGGGCAGCAGCCCCCAAACTCACTGCCAAAAAAGCAGCCTGTGCTGAGCTCTGAGCCCCCGAGCAGCTTCGTGGATGTGCGCAGCCCCCTCCTCATACAGGAGCAGTTTGATGCAGAGAAGAAGCGGGTCCAGATGCTGCAAGAGCAAGGAGGGGATGGAGGTGGGTTTCCTTCCTGGCAGAGCCATGTAGCCACTGGGAAGCAGGAGGTGCTGCTGAAAGCCCCTCACTGCAGGAAAGAAATTAGGATGCTGGAGTGTGTTCAGAGAAGGGAACGGAGCTGGGGAGGGGTCTGGAGCACAAGTCTGATGAGGATCGGCTGAGGGAGCTGGGGGGGCTCAACCTGGAGAAAAGGAGGCTCAGGAGGGACCTTCTGGCTCTGCAACTCCCTGACAGGAGGGTGGAGCCAGGTAGGGGTCAGGCTTTGCTTGACAGAACAAGAGGAAATGGCCTCAAGTTGTGCCAGGGAGGTTTAGGCTGGATATTAGGAAAAATTTCTTGATGGAAGGGGTTATCAAACATTGGAGCAAGCTGCCCAGGGTGGTGGTGCAATCACCATCCCTGGAGAGATTTAGAAGACATGTGGATGTGGCACTTGGGGACATGGGTTAGTGGACCCGGCAGTGCTGGGTTAAGGGTTGGAACAGAATAGAACAGAACAGACTGTTTGATTGGGAATGAAGGGTCATCTCACTCAACTGCATTTTAATTGTTTCTGTCAGTGGGGCAACTTTGGGGTGTGAAACTTCTCCCCCTCCCTTAGTCTGCAGAGATATTTGTGTTCTGTGTCTGGGGGAATTTTAGCATCTCCTGCATCCCTTGCCTACAGGGGCTTCATAGAATAGAGCGAAGCTTTGCCCTCCCCTCCAGGGTCTCGGGAGAGAGGGACACCTATCCCTCCCAGCCTGTTCCCCTCCACCATGTGGGATCAGCACTTCCTGGGTGGGAGGACGTGGAGCTCAGATCCCACAGGAGCCTTAAAAACCTCTGTCTCCCTCGATGCTCCCCAACCCTGCAGCCCACCCTGGGTGAGTTACCTGCAGCTGCCAGGAGAGCTTGGATGCCATGGCAGATCCAGAGCACTGTGTCCTGCTCCCTGTGTGACCCCCTCAGCTTGGGGACTGTCCTGTCACAGTGTCCTTGAAGAACAGCAAAACTCACCTTTTAGGCCTCCTGGTTAACACAATATGATTTGTTTTCTCTCTGACAGACACTTCCATGGGAACAACCACCCTGGTTGCTACCCCTGTGCCCAGAGGCACTTCCCCATCCTATGATACCTCTGTGAAATCTGTACCAGAGAAGAAACTGCCCACTGGGAACAGAGCTGGCAGCACCTACTCCATGCCGACGGAGAAAGTAGGTGACCTTCCCTCTTACCACATTCATTTCATCCAGGTTCTTGTGAACTCCCCCTGGCTGGGAGATTTTCTACTGCAGTGTCACATTTTGAGCTGATGGCAAGTTTATTCTGGGATTTTTTCCTCCCACTGTGTTCATGTTCCCATCCAGATGCAGCATTTTGCAGCGTAAGAGAAGGAAGCCAAGCTCTGTTGGGCTTTGACTCCTTATTTCCCCTCCCTGACTTGCCAGTCAGTCTCCTGCTTTCCACCCTTCTCCTCACTGCCTGGCTCCTCTTCTTTCCTTCCGATATCTCCCCTGAATCCGAAAGGTTCCCTGGAGCCCCAGCACCTCCCTGCTCCACTCGCACTCCCAGCTTGGGGAGTTACCTGTGACCCAGCCTTGCTGTTGGTGGCAGGAAATGTGGGGGCCGAGCGCTGAGCTGAGTTTGTCCTGTGATGTGTGTGCCCAAGACCAGGCCAATGGGAGATTCCCATGGCACCGACCCCCTGTCCTTGTCTCCCAAAGGTGTTCCCAGCCTCGGCAGCCCCTCTCCTAGGCCCAGCTGTGGTGGGAAGCTCCGAAGGCACGGCTGGGAGATCGGCCTCCCGGGTGAGCTCTGGCACGAGCATCTGGGCTCCATCCTGCAGCAACGCAGAGGAGGGTGTGGAGCTCAGCAAGCCGGGCGTCCTCGTCTCCATTGCTTCGGGGGGCACAGTGGTGCCTGGCAGATGCTCGGGCTCTCAGGGGCCCAGTAACCCCAATTCTGCCACCTCCAACAGCCTCGGCCTCAGCAGCGACCCAATCCTGGTGAGCAGGGATAGCGTGGAAGGAGCATTCTCCAGAGGCTCCTCGGCTCCAGTGGCTCGTGCAGACCCCGGGGGACAGGAGGCAGCTGGAGCAAGCAGAGACTCCCGTTCCGCTCCGAGCTGGGACAGCACCTCCCTGGGCACCCATGAGGTCCGTGTGGATCATTACCCCAGCGTCCAGCTTGGAGCCGACAATGATGGAGTCGGTCCGCTCGGAAGCTCTCCGGATTTCGACTCCAGCAGTGGCTGTGGCGCTGCCACCGGCTCATCTCAGGCCAAGGTCCCCGCGGGGGACAGCAATGGCCCGTCCCTGCCGTACATCCTGCCGGCCGTGGGCATCGCTGTCATCTCCGCCGTGGCATTCCTGGTGTACGCTCGGCTCCAGAAGTAGCAGCCGGGATGTCACGCAGCCGGGGCGATTCCTCTGGCAACAGGATTCTGGCCAACGCGTTTGAAGCCTGAAGAGCAGCGGGGGAATGGTAGGGGTGTGGTTAAATCTCTTTCCGCAAGGTTCTGCTGGAAGAGGCCTTGGTACAGGATGCTGTTGGGTTTGGATCTGTTCCATCCAATTTCCCAACCATCTTCTTTTTACACCCATGGAGAGGGTCTCTCTCCAGGGCAATCCCTTGAGTCAGAAAAGTCCTTGTGGCGATTCTCCACGTCTTCCTTGTTCGGTCCCAGGAGGCCCCAGGGAAGCATGCACCGGTGATCCAAAGGGTGACCCCCTGGGTGCCTTTGGGCAGCGCAGCCAGGAGCGGTTTTGCAGATATCCTGTAACATTGGA